ATAATAATAATAATAATGATAATAATAATAATGATAATAAAGTTGGGAAAGAAGACACCACAAATTTGGCACATACATTCACTGGAAACTTTGCAAGCAGTATGGATTTACCGTCTGCAGAAAATGGCATGAACATGAACCTGAAAAAGTAATGGACAACGACACAGCAACAATCCTATGGGACATGCAAGTGCATACGGACAGAACCATCACAACTAATAGGCCCGACATTATAGTCAAAAACAAAGTAGAGAAACGACGTTCCCTGATAGACGTGTCAATCCCACCAGAACGAAATGTGCCCCTAAAACAAGTAGAAAAAATCTCAAAAGACAAAGATATAGAAATAGAAATTAAAAAAATGTGGTGTATGGAAACAAAAACCATACCTATTGTCATTGGGGCACTAGGGTTAATTCACAAAGGACTAGAACAATATTTCTCATACTCATTAATAATTTATGAGGAAACCAGCCAATCAATGAGCTATTTTTGGGTCACATGATGTTATTTGAAACCTGGTAAAGTCATGTTAAAGGACTGAATTCAGTCTGTAGTAGGACTGAATTAATTTTGTTCCAGTTATTCCAAGTCGAGTAAAAATGAGCATGAGAAGTCATTTCAAAGCCTCCAATTTCGGACTGAACAGGATTTCAAGTCCATTGCGTAGACTTGAAATCCTGTCCAGTTCGAAATTGGAGGCTTTGAAATATTACGTCAACCATTTAAAAGAGGACATCTCTATCACAGAAGTACAGAATATCGCTCCCCTTGGAGCTGCACACATCATTAGAAAAACTCTCATCATAGGAAAAAATCTGTTAACATTTATATTTGGTCAGCTACGATTTCAAGCTCACGCCCCCTCATGTGAGCCCATACAAATTATGTCTCAAAAACACTGTTTTTGGATCTTTTCTCAAAATAATGACTATCTAGGCAAAAAAACAGAAGTGGATTCAGTTAATTCAACTATTCACGGACTGTATTATATGGTTTAGATTGAATTCTATTGAAAAAAACCACTGTACTTTTGAGAAGGGGTTGGCACGTTTCATTAACGTCTGGTGGCCCCACTTCTGGTGGCCACACACCTCTTGTGGCCCCTGTCCCAGTTTCTCCGCGGCAATACAACCTGTGATTACGAAACTTGGCAGGGATGTAGTCACGTGCCCTGTCAGTTACCCCAAAGGAAAAAGAGGAGAGGAAAAAGACCGAAAA